TTCTTCCATCATTTCACTGCCTCGCTCAGCATCCTCCATGGCAGGTGTCCTGCCCTTGGACCGAGGTGCGCCCCTAGCGACAGGTTGACGAGCACCTGACACCAGCCAATAGAAGACGTCTTTGGTGCCAGTTTCCCAAACGGGAGTCCTTGATTGGTTGCTAAGGGCGTGTCTTCGATCATCTCACTTCTGTGTGCTGCTTTTCGGGGCTGTTATGCTGTCAGCCGGAGCGAGGAGGCGAGACAGACAGACCGATGAAAACAAGCCAGACAGACGGCACAAAACAGGCTGAATAGGTGTCTGGAGATGGTCCAGTGAGCGCACACGTCGAGGAAGAGAAGGTACGTTTGGAATTTAATGTCGTGTCGGGGCTATCTGGCGTGCCCGCCTGCCTGCCTTGGCGGTGACCACAAAGGCAGAGGCGGGCGATGTTTTGATGGAAGAGGTGACGACCACCGGGGCTTTGGGTTAGCTTGGTGGCTAACGACTTAGCTTCGTGCACGGCTGGTCATATTCGAATTCGAGAGGACTTTGTAAGATTTGAGACACCTACACCGCGCATAATGCCAGCCTGCTGCGAGAGGAATATGCTAATCGTACATGTGATGGTGCCCGTGACAATAAGGCAGCTAAATTAGCAATGCTAATTGCTAATGTGAGTGGAAATAAAGATGATTCCTATCTTAAATTTAATGTAAATGGGCCAGGCTTTCAACTGGAAGAAAATGATCGTGATGTTGATTAGTGTTAAATAAATAATGACGTCACTGGATTAGATTGTGTTGAGTGACAAGTGTGGTGATTTTGGGGAGGTTTGACGTTAAAAGCCAGGCTAATAGTCTGACTCTGAAACTCCAGCCTACCCACACACAATGACAAAAACTCACAATTAGTGTTGCCTACATCTGTAGTATACGTAAAATTTGATAAGAATCAGAGTAAATCTCTCAGAGGAATTTGTCTTTGAAGGACCCCTGGAACTGGCCGCAATGATCCTAAAACGGCAGCTTCAAACCAAAATGGGAGACTTCATGTTTTTCATATGTGGGAAATCATCAAACTTCGCTGTCGGGCTCCAGTCACACACAATGACGAGGTATCACATCTTTGTTTGTTTGTTTTCATATGCGTCATGTTCAGTCCATCCACGCGACAGGTCGTGTAAAAATGGGTCACCGGTTGATGGTGGCGATGATGAGGATGTGGGTCACGGGTGGATCGTTTGCTCCCACCCACTGGTGCTCATGTTGCTGAGTGTGTGGAGGACTGTGTTTTTGATGCTGGTGGTGGATGCTTTTTTTAGTGTATGATGTCGCCCTTTTAGCTAACCGAGACGTCGGTGTACCAAGGTTATGTTGACATGACATGTTAGGTGTCTTAATAACATGTCTGTGGCATGCTTTCATCAAAACCCGCCAAGCATCAAGAATGATAGACAGACAGTATTTACAAAGGATATTTCGTATCATGGTGAAATTGGCTCGTTTTAGGGGCCGATCTGTCTCATGCACTTAAGGCCGCACAGAAATATAGCTCAGAAATAGGGAGATGATTTAAAGATTCATTTAAACCCCTTAATGGGTGGTCAGACACTCCAGACAATCTGTGCAGACTTGTATTTAATCCACCCTCCCAAAGAAACACCCCCATCATCATGTTGTGAACTCACGCCCATCTTTATTCATTGTCATTTTTGTTGCCATGGATACCATCTGGCACAGTGCTCCCACTGGCTTCCGTGCACGGCGCGGTCTTTCTGCCAGGCAAGTCTGCACACACACACACACGCAGGCGTACACACACATTCCTCGGAATCCACTCCTTGTCATAACGTGGCCTCAGGTGCTGCAAATGTTACCGAGCGCAAGTGGGTCGTGTGTTTATTGGTGGAGGAGATGACCATCATACCAGAATGTGTTGTTGTTAATGCTCATCAAGATTCATGTGCACTCTGAAGAAAATTCATCTATTTTGGTTGCAAGTGCCCATTTTAGTGTCATGATGGCTCTTCCCGGGGGGAGTATGGCAGTTTTGGGTGTAACTTCTGATCGCCAGTGTTTATTTCCCTTGAGGACCTTCAACCTTGAGAATAACAAACGTGACTAATAGAATGGACTCAAGGGGGCACCATTGCCGTGTCCAGAATTGACGCCTCCTTGAGTGGCATCGGTGCATCGTGGAAACTTAACAGTGAACTTCAGTGCAGCTGATGTTTCGATGATCAATACCTGGTTATGTCACAAAACTGATTGTATGTTATCAAAAAGATCAGTTCAACCTGCGATGCAATTTAGTTCAATGTAAAAAGTTTGTCGTGCTGTGCCATTTGTTGCCATTCTTGAACTGCAGACTTGATGATATCTCTGAGCCTCAAGCCAACTTGATCGTTTTTTTTTTTGTTGTTGTTGTTTTTGTTTTTTGTGCATGCATGCATGCACATTTTGTACTGTATGGTGACGTTGAAAAAAAAATAATGTTTCAATTTGTCCTCTCTTGCACCTCAGTCTCAGGCTAGCTCTGTGAGCTAATTTCCACTCATAAACCAGGCACTTTTTGTGAGCTGAAGGGCAAAATAAATTAAAAAAAAATTTTTAAAAAAGGAAGAAAGAAAAACACTTAGCACCTGTCCCCCTCGCAAGGAAAGGACACAAGCACTCTTTTGTGTAAGACTCATCAGAAACCTGTCGGGCAAGACTATTCACGATACGGCCTGATGTCATGGCTTGGCTTCATTTTGCGCTTCACGGGACCATTACGTCAGCTAAATGAAACGACAGTTGCAACTTACAAAAAAAAAAAAAAAAAAAAAAAAAAAAAAACACCCGGTGACGGAGTAACTGACAGCCACTCCCTTTCTCCTGCGCTATCGACCCGCTTGGTTCAATTTTGACTTGTTTGGGACTCTTCTGACCCCTCTGGTGACTATTAAAAAAAAAAAAAAAAGAATAGCGACTTGAATTCAACTTGAGCGGAATCAATTTCACATTGCTTTCCGTAAGCAGTGATTAATCCACATTGTGCTAACTTTAGACCCGAGGTTCTTCTACCTTCACGCGTCTTTTATTTCGCAAGATTTTCTCTTAAAAGCCATTTTCGCCCAACCCTAGGACGTAGAGATCAGAAACAATCGGATTATCCCGAGTCTAGTTGTTGACCTTCTGCCGTATGACACGCTGACTAATCAGGTCGAGCTAAGCAAGTAGAGCAGCTTGTCACAAGACCGAGCATCACAAAACAATCAAAGCCAACCTGACAAACTGTCACAAACTGATCACAGAGTACGGTGGCCTCGCTGAGCGTGTCTTTCATTGATCACCCGCAATTGTCAATTGGCAAACAGAGGTGAGGAAAACAATAGCGAGTCTGGAGAATCTCTGCCCCGTGGCACCGAACCTTCGTTCCGTTACTAAAATCAAAGACATTTGAGATAAACGCTTTATTTCAAAATCAAATATTTCTATAAAAATATACCTTCACCATCAGCATTAAATGACAGATTTGTCATGAGTAACCCGAGAATCAATTTCAGGTTTATTTTTGGCAATTTTCAGGCTAGCGAGTTGCATTGTCTCTTTCAAGGAGTAATCCATTCAGTGATTCCAGTCGACGGGACATTAAAAGACAGCGTTTGCTGTCTAAGAATACTTTCAAAGAGAATATCTTGAACCATCAACATTCACACATACATAAATATTTTGTTTTTTTTTCCCCCCCTGTAATGTTTTCCATCTAATTCATCTGAAACGTGAAGCGACTTGTTTTCACACAGTGGGCCTCTTGGGTGTGACGCTCACTGGGGATGATGTCATGACAATGGTGGCATGAACAGCCAAAAGACCCCCCAGGGGGTAGATTTTCTACAGAGAAACCAAACAAGATACTTTTTTTTTTTTTTTGCCAGGTAGTACAAAAAAGGCTCCCTGCAAACTCTTGATGTTTCTTTTCTTGTTTTGCGCTAAATTGGGAAGTGCCGGAGCGAGCAGAACTGTTCCTTATTTTTAGGACCGAGTGTCGTTTTTATTTATTTATTTTTATTTTGAGAGAACTAGGAAGCAGCAAATTCCTCAAGACTTAACATCGTTGTATTCCTCACCTGGGCTATCTGTATCAGGACGAAGGATTTCGACATTGGCTATGAGTGGAATTGTCTGGGCTGGAAAGCTTTGCGTCTTATCTCTTCCAAAAGCTATTTGCTTATCAAGTTTAACAGTCAAACTTACAAGTCTGTCGCGGTGTTGAGGGCTTTTCCTGTTTGTGTTTGACTCAGTCCCACCCTCTTCGTTGAGGGGTGTGTCGGCTCCCGGTAACCTAACACCATTAACACATTGAGGTTACTGTAACTTGCTAAACAGCCTCGACCAGTGAGCTGCAGGAACTCAAACGCTTACTCAGACCCACATGCCGCATACGTCTGCCGTCTGGATCAAGCCCGCGCATGCATGTCGTTCGTTCTGTCGCACTTCCATAGCGCCCCGGGATGCGCGAAACAGAAGGAAGCAGGTGTTGGGAGTAGTTCTTCACATATGATCTGTGGGAGTGTTGGAAAATCCCCTCAGAGAGAAGACAAAAAAAAAAAAAGACGGCAAGTGGAAGAAGGGAAAGGAGATCCACCCAAACATTTTCACGCAACCAATCATCACGCGCTCTCGGAATTGGATCCCTCCCTTGTTCACCACCTGAGAGTTGAGAAAGCGCAATTGTGCCTCGGAGAGTGAGAAGTTTGAGAGAGACAACAAAGACCAGGTCTACTATCGCTGAGCGTTAACAGAAAAGAAGATCTCGGAAAAGGCGGAAACCTTTTTGGGAGGACTAAGCTTGAATCCTTTGCGTGACTCTGGTGACTTTCTGTTGGACGGAACTCACTCAAGACACAACACCATCACTTTTTGCACTTTTGAGTGATTCACTCAAGTTTTCCAGACGCAGTTTTTCATCGCTCCCTTTCAAGACATCATGCGTTTTCTTCCTCCGAAGGATCGTTCTGAGATTTTAACCGCAAATTACTGAGGAAAAAGGATTTGCCCGACAATGATGTCGTTGGAGGACTTTGGAAGCATTGCCAGCCTCGGGGCTGAGAGCGGAATATCGGACTACGGTGACAACCTCTCGCTGAGAAGCCAAAGCCAATGTCTGGATCAAGACCTTGATGGTCAAAGCCCGAACCAGGATGGTAGCATTGTCATGGAGCGCATTGCCTCATTGCCACTGCCTCTGGACATGTACGATCCAATCGACTTCATCGGGAGATTTTCCAAGTTCCAGTCCCGGTCCAGAAGGCGAACACGGATCATCGTAGGTAGGTGATGACATGTTAGTTCCCTTCAGAGATTTCGTGTTGATACAAACACAGGGCAAGGACCACCTCAGAGTCATTGCGGATTCTCGAGAGGCCCGATTTGAATGGGTTGCACTCATGCAAATGCGCTCACGAGGCGAAGGTCATCCAATGTTAGACAATCAGTCGTCACACCACAGAGGAGGTAGCCGGGTTTTGTCCCCTGAGATATCCTCGAGTACCCGTTTCAAGCCACTCTCTTCTGCATGTCCATAACCTGAGGAGTTGACCGGCCGCTCTGACAACCTCAAAAGACAAAAACACTGACATTTCTTGGCACTCAACTAACTCAGACTTCAGCGAGTGAGGACTTTCTCTCTATATGCCATCCTGATCTCACCATGTCAGTGTGATAACGATGCAGTCAGTTCATTTCATTTCGATTTTGGTTCACCATTTCCTGTTCAGTTCTGTTTCCACTCGTTTTAAAGGGCCAACCACATTCGAGGTTTATGGCGGTCCCAACAAAAACTGCTTGATTTTATTTATTTTTTTGGGTCAGGAGTGCTCACTTTCTCATCACAAGGTTCATGTTCTTTTTCGCCGTCAAGTGCGTTGCTAGCAGGACCGTAACAGAATGTCAGGTGGGGGGGGTCAGGCCTATTTAGAAAAAATAACCTGCACTATATCAACTTTTCCACCGTGCTGCAAAGCAAAACTCACACGAGACGAGGCGGCCCACGCATGATTGGCCGTTTTTATCCATCGCTTCGACCATCACATAGCACACGAGGACTATTTGAGGTTATCAGTTAACACGTTGGTGTCTGCTTGACGCAGCTGGCTCAGACTGACATGAGGAATGCGTGTGTCAACTGTGTTTTGTCATCATCGACTGACTGCCAATTTGATGGTGTCCTATCAACATTTTGTTGTTTTTTTTTTTCCCCCCCGAGACTGAGCTCAATTAACATTGCATTCAAGAAACAAAGGACATCCTTTAGATTGAATGTTACATCTGAGATATCGCTACGCCTTTCACTGGCTAATCAAATCTTGAATTGCAGCAAAACTAGTGGCTGGCAGTCAAGCCGCTCATAAAAATTAAGGTGGCGACCCCATCACACCGCATGACAGTCCACTTGGTGTTTTTGCACTCCTTCCATCTGTCTCGTGGAGACTTGTACAGGTGAGGCAAGGCCGCCTTGGCAAAATAGTTGCTGCATAGCACATACCTCGGGTCAAAAGTTTTCACTGCTTGTGCAAAGTATAAATGGGCACTGTGTCCTTGGCAATGTTTAGCACAATTGACTCCGCGATTGCTTTCCATCCGGCTCCTTTCTTGTCATAAGGAGCACATTGTCAAACTGATTCCACTCGTCTTGTCTGAGTCTTAGTGAGAATTAAGCCGCTTTTATGAAAAATCGTCACTTTGAACGACGGAAACTGCCAAAATCTACGGGGGG